AGTTCATGCCACTATGGACTGATCTATGGACTCAGAGAGACTAAGGAATTAGTCATAAGCATCTTTAGTGAGCAAACAAGATTATACGTTCATGGCCAAAAAAATACATCTTAGGGGTTGTCCAACTTTGCTCTGTCCTGCTTAGTAACTAGAACCTAAATTCCCTCGATGTGTCTTTTTTTTCTCTTTCTTACTTTCCTCATTTTTCTTTCTACAAAGTTCTCATTAACACATTTTAACGAGCATAAATGAGGACTCCACCTCCCAAGAAAGAGAAAAGCCAAGCAGCGGGTGCAGAGAGAGAGAGACAGAAAATAAGTAATTGTCACTGTAGGTTTTTATACATCAGGGCCATCCCTGAATCCCGCGTTGCTTGCCAGCTCTGCAGAAGATGACTCCTAACTGCATGAGAAAGATGAGACTGGTGATAAAAGCACAGATATAAATAGAGATATGGTATAGATGTGGATAGCAATATGGATATAAATACAATCTCCCTGTTGTATTTTCAAGTCTGCACCATTCATTTGGTTTCCCTTTGTCCTCTTGCATGTTATTTTGACATACACTTAAAAAAAAATAAACAAACTCAGAAACTGTAAGAGATACCTGCATGTGATTCTCCTGTCACCCCTGTGAGATCCTGGGCCTAGGCAATGTTGGCTTTGTGTGTAACCTCTCCCATCAGTTCCAGAACTCTAACACATGGGCAGGTCTGGCCTATCAAAGCCCAGATCAGGGATGCAGGAAGAGATTTGATATAGCCCCCTACACCTATCTCTGCCACATGAGCTGCTCTTGTTCCAGACCCTGTCCCCTCAGGTCTTCATGGCCTTGATCTCCATTGAAGGCACAGATGGTCGTGAACCTTCTGGACCTGTGGTCACCCAATTCTCTTTTCTTTTAATTCTCACTGCAGTCCTGTGAGGCAGGAGTGGATTTCTTTAGGTTGTTAGTTTATAACATTTTTGAATCTGTGACCCCCTCTTTTAGAGTTAACATTGTCTACTAACTATATTTTTAGTATTCATTCAATGAAAAAGCCACAATGAGCACCATCTATCCTGAGCTCACTAACTCTTATGTTGATGTACATAATAATAACGAAACATTAAAAATGTCCAACATGCATTTGGCACTTACAACATGCCAGGCATGGAGCCAAACATTTTATGGTGATTCTCTTATCTGAAGCACAGGACAACCCTATGGGGCATATTTTCTGATTGGCTCCATTTTACAGATTGGAAAACTGAGCCTTTGAGACAGATGAAGTACCTTGCTCAAACTCACACATTTATAAACAGCAGCAGAAGAATTGAAACCCAGCATTCTTAACCATGATGTGGTATAGACGCTCATTTGAAAAAAGTGAGAGACATCTACAATTGGTTGGCAGATCCTCGTTGGAGACCAGAGGATTGCCTTGGGCTAAATGAGATAATGTGTATAGAGAAATCACACAGTGCCTTGTACACTCAGCAAATGTTATTCACAAGGATAGTGAATGTCTTTGACTCTTACTGCTAAAATTTTTTTGAAGTGATCTTTTTATGATTATTGTAGAGGCTGGGGACCAAGATGCCAATAGCCTTGGAGCTGTGGCCTTGATGACAGGGGTGAACCAGCTGGGGTGATGTGGGATGGTGCTGTGACCCTTGGTGTTGGCATTCTTGATCTTACAGTCAGTGTCTGGGTCCTTGGGCAGTGGTATCAAAGGTCTTTTCATGGACAAGAGGGATAAAGTTTCCACTTTGGCATCTTTGGTGACCAGTAATAGTGGGGCTGTGATCCAGAAAGAACAAGAGAAAAAGGTAAAAGTCTGGTCATTGTCAGAGCACCTGTGAGACACCCTCCAAGGACCTGGAAAAGCTCTTCAGGGGGCACTTGAAAGGGGTGGGTGCGGGAGGCTGAAGTTCATGTGGATCCTCTTTCTCTCAGGCTGGATTGGCCCAGAGCACAGTTATATATTGCAATTATCTGTGAGGTTTGTGTAGATTTCTTCTTCCAACTAAGTAGTGGATAAGATGGTCTGGAGAAATTTTGTGCTATGGAATATCCAGGTGTTGACAAAACAAACAATCAAACAAATCCACACTTTGTTGCTGAGTCCCCAAGCAAGGAAGGACTTTCTTAAAGGACAAACCTGCAAACTAACAAGCCATGAGTTGAAAGCAGAGAGATGAGTAATCATGTCACCAGAGTCATCCTGGGTAAAATGACTCAACGAGGTACACCTGAAGCTTTGAGGGTTCTTGATCACATAGACTATGAATAAATGGATCTGGAGCTCATGCAATAGGGGGGATAATGGACTTGAGATCCCCTCATAAACCATGACACTGTAAGTGTCTATAAAGTCAGTGAATAGATGGACTAAAACAAAAATCTGCCTGCAACTAACAAGAAAGTGTTTTTGTCTTTGCTGTGACTCTGGGTAGGACTTAATGATAATACTTGTCTCCCCTGGAGTTTGTTAGCTCCAGTCCAAGTCTGTTCTCATGTGGACCTAGCATTATTCTGTACCATCTATGGCATCAGGAAAAATAAAGCCAAAAAATTAAAGTGGCCCCAGCTTGAGAACAGTCCCTGGTGTCCAGAAATGCCATATGTAAATTCTCTTAAGGTGTCAGCATCTTCAGCTCAGAGCCTTCAGGATGCCTGCAGGTTAACTTCAGCCAAATATAAACTCCTAAAGAAAGATGATCAGGTACCTGCAGGAGCAGACCATCATGAGGGGCAGTCAGGAGACACATTCTTGAGATTATCAGACACAGATATGCTACCTAAAACTGTCGTATTTGAAGAAGTAAAAGCTGGAATAAAGACAGCAACAACAACAAAAAAGTGACTATCAGTCATGACCAAGCAGATCAGGTAAAAGAATGAAAGGGAATTTCTGGAGATAAAATATAAGTATTGAAATTAAAATCCAGTGGATGACTTAAAGAAGAGATGGACCATAATGATGATCTGACAGCTGGCAGGCAGGTATTACTCACTGTGTGCTTGGCACTCTTCTAAGCTCTTTGCAACCACGCTTGAAAAAAGGGGGAGTGAATTAGAAATTAGATTTAGACAAATTACCTTTACAGAGACAGATAGGAAATATGAATGCAATGCTGTGTCTCAAATTTACTTGTGCCGTATCTTAGACATGTTATAGTGCCCATACGAACCTCAGTTTCCTCAGCCGTAAAACAGAAGGACGGGAGGCCGTTTATCTAGAATGTCTGGATTTGGTGTATTTCTTTGTAGGACTATTTCTGGAGTTTAAGTTTATCAACACTGAACAATTGAAAAAATAATTAAGAGAGAGAGAGAGTGGCTTGATCCTTCCTCAATCAATATTTACTGGGTACATTCTTCTGGGACATTTTCTTGGCTTTTAAGAAACTCCCTTATTAAGGATATTTAGAAATTGGATGTCTAGTTGCACAATTGTAATTCAATGCTTCAAAATAGTTTTTTTATTGTCCCAAACCATATAAATGGCCAAGAACCCTGATGGCTTGCAGGAGAATGCATTGAGATATCACACAGCAAGTATTTTCAGTCCACTGAATCCCGTTATTCCCGTGCATGGTGAGCCGTGGCAAACTCATGTATTACTAGTAGGTAATTTAATAAATGGATGATCATTAAAAATCCTATTATTTAGAACAACTGTATTGCTTGGGCACTTCTCACATTTAGAATCCTGGTTGGGGGGCGGGGAGGGGAACCCAGTTCCATATTGGACTACTACCCATTTAATGAGACTCATCTGACAATTGAAGAGGTAATGGAAATACAGTTAATTGTAAATAGTAGGTACTTAACCCTCTCAATGTTCCTTGTTTGCAAACAACAGAAAGAAACTCTGGCTTATTGACGCAGAGAATGAATTAAATTGAAGGCTCACAGAATTGATGCGAGGACTTGGAAAATGGGGCCAAAGTTGACAAGGCCCAAATACCAGACGGTGACAGGCTCAGCTGGCTAGGATGCCCGCTTTTCTCCGAACTGGTCACTTACCATCCACACTGTTGGATTCCTGTATCAGTGTCTTTGACACATAAGCTCTACCATCCTGGTGCCTTTAAGTCATTCCTTCAAGGTTCATGGTCCTGAGGGGTCAGGGTTGTGATCATCACCTCGTCATGCGCAGATCTTGTGCTCTTTCCCTCAATACACAGAAGTGAGGAAGCAACTGCTCTCCTTCGGCTTCTGTCCCTGGAGATGCTGCCCTCCTCCCACTTTTCTTGCTATTCTCAGAAAAGGAAGCGTGTCTGCATGCCAGGCAGCCACTTAAGTTCAGGCACCACCAGAGCTCCCAGAATCTTTATCCCTTCAAATCAATAGCTGGTGGGAGTACTGGAGTTTAATAAATGTAGAATTTAAAAAGGATCTAATCTTAATGAATTAAGTCTTTCTTCTCTGGCACTAGTGATCTATTATTTTTCCTAAAAATTGTATTTTTTATTTGCAAAAATAAGTCATTCATAGAGGAGGGATCCTTGCAGTGATAGAAATGTTCTGCACCTTGACTTCATCAATGTCAATATCCTAGTTGTGATGTTGTACTGTAATTTCACAAGATGTTACCATTGGGGGAAACTGGATAAAGGGTACATGTAGAATCTCTCTGTATGATTTATTACAACTGCATGTGAATTTATAATTATCTAAAAGTAAAAAGTTTACTTTTTTAAAAAAACTCATGCTTGTTGTTAAAAAAAAATCAAACACTATAGAAAATTCCTTTTCATCAACTCCAACTCACCTGAAGTAGAAATAACATTTTAATACACACACACACACACACGCCTATAATGTGATTTCCTACAAGAAAAAAATATATAAACAAAAAATATATTTCAATAAACTTTTTGCAACACGCTCTTTTCACTCAACAGCATATACAAGCAACTTTCTATGCACAATGACTTCTAATCTCTTTTGTGAGTGTGTGGCTTCCTGAGTTTTCCAGATCTCTCTCTCTCTCTTTTCCCCTGTAGGCTGTGAGCTCCTTGGCAGACAGGACCTTCACTGCTGCATCTTTAGCACATAGCTGCATGCCCCACACACAGTGGGTCCCAATGTAAGTGTATAGTATGTCAGGAAGACCATATTGTCCTCAAAGAAACAAACAGCCCAATGGGAGCAATACAGTGTATAGTAATATCTCGCTAAGGGCAAGCCTTAAGATGCCCAGGAACCAGGGTTTCAATTTGACCTTAGAAGGGGACCTGAAAATCTCATTGCCTTCTCTAGCTGGCATCCTCTAGCCATTTCTGCCCTGGGACTCCCTGTCTCATTACTACATTGGCTTCAGGAATATACTCCTTTTCCCTGTCTCTCGGCTCAGTAAATGGAAAACCGCTGTCCGTCTTGCACTGGGTTGCATTGCTGCTAGTCTTTGAAGTTTAATTTCAGAAAGTAAGAGGCCAATGCCAAAGGTACCTTTTTGTTTTGGTACAATTCCACAAACATTTGCTCAAAAGCCTACTATGTCTCCGTAGGTGCTGATGACAGAAATGAATTCAATCACCAGTAACAAAATACTAAGCATTTTTGAAACACCTTCTGCATCCATAGAAGAGGCCATTCCAAGGTAAGATGTGGTCTCTGCCCTTTCACAGGTTTAAAATTTCCTGGAAAAGATACAAGTAGATTACTACAAACACTGAAAGAAAATAGCTTGAGTGTTATAGCAAAGGTGTAAACACTGTGTTCGGAGAATATTGAGGTGGTAACAATTTTGTTCACCTTGGTCCCTGTGCAGAAAAATTGACTTAAAGCATTACAGAATCACTATATATACATATAAAATGAAGCAGGGGAATACATCATCCTATCTATCTATCTATCTATCTATCTATCTATCTATCTATCTATCTATCTATCTATCTGTCTCATTAGAGCACAGAGGAAAAGGAGGGTAGTTTGTCTTGGTTGTTCTGGGAGCAGGAGGAACAACTGGCTTCAGGGTGAAGGTAGAGCTTGCAAAGTATTTTCATCAACGAATAGAATTCACTAGAGAGACTGGGGATGATGAGAGAACAGCATGTGCAAAAGCAAGTACGGGGCACGATACAGATGGTGTTTGGCAAAGTCAAGTATCTAGTGTTATTGTAGCAAGGATATGAACTTCAGATTAAATAGCAATCTCCAAAAACTTGCTCCCTGGGAGAAATGAATCATTCCTCCATTCCATTTTTATTGAGAGCCTCCTCTAGTCAGAATGGAAAACACTCAGGTCCTCGGGTCGTGTTTAACCTTTACCTGATGCTGTCCTAAGTGTTTTTCATATATTAAATAAATCTCATGCTTACAGCACTCTGTGATACACTACTATACTATAGCACTCCCGTTTTACACATGGAGAGATTAAGACACAAAGAGGTTAAATGGTTTGATCACACAGCTGGTGAGCAGTAGAGACTTCAGTCCAGGAAGTCTAGCAGTGATGTCCACTCTTCACCATGACACCATCCTGCTATATGCAGGGCTGTGTGCCATATCCTGGAGGTAGAGGTGGCCATGGGCATGATTTTATCTTTTATCCCATCCCTGAGAGCTTGCCTTCTTGGGGGCAGATATTGAATAGGCAATAACAGGCACAACATTAAGTGTAAATCAGGGGATTCTGACATGGTCTGCCGTGGGGATGGGGCTGAGGATCAGGAAGCTGTACATGAGCAAGTGACAGTGATGCTGTGGCCTGTAGGATGAGTAGGCGTTATCCAGGTGAAGAGGATGGAGAATGTAGGGAGAGGTCTGTTCCTAGACCAGAAATCCTCCTATGTTTAGGCCTTAAGGCAAGAAGAAGCAGGCCTCTCTTCAATAAATAAGCAGAAAGAAGGCTGGTGTGACCCAAGAACAGCATTAGGGGAGTGTCTCTCAATTCATAAGTGGTGAGGAGGAGGTGCTGGATTTTGCAGGGTCTCTGTCAGGATTGTGATCTTTTATCCTAAGAGCAATGGGAATCCTCTGGGCTGTTCTAAGCAGGGAGTTGGCATGAATTGCACTTGAAAACACTTACTCAGCCTGCTATTTGAAGAATACTGTGTGTGTGTGTGTGTGTGTGTATGTGTGTTTGTGTGCATGTGCATGTGTGCATGTGTGTGTCTGGTGGGGTGGGCAGGAAAGGAGAGAAAAAGTGGCCTCCATGAGCTCTTGGAGGAGACTGAGGTAGTCATGATGGTGGCTTGGACAGGGTGGTGGCTGTGAGATGGAGAGAGAAGCAGAGACTCAAGAGAGATTTTGAAGATAGACTCCCATGAAATATGGTGACTGATTGGACATGGGGACCAAAGAAGACAAGTTTGCCTGAGATGATTCCAAATTTCACGACTCTCTGGAGCAACAGTTGGCAAACTTTTTCAGCAAAAAGCCAGATGATAAATTTTTTAGACTTCAGTCTAGAAAAGGTCTCTTGCAACGACTTGACTCTGCTGTTGTCCTCTGAAAGCAGCTATAGATAAGAGTAAACAAAGGGATATGGCTCTGCTCCAATGAACCCTGGTTTATACACAGGAAGCAGGCTAGACTGGGCCTCTGGGCTGTAGCTGGCCAACTCCTGGTCTGGAGATTGTGAAGGTACCTGAGATGCGGTCCTCTGGAGGAGGATGGTCTAGGCAAATAATTGGCTACGTCACAGCCGTTCCTTTCCACGACAGCACCATGAAGTAGCTGTTAGGATTCTTTTTGTTTGAGATAATAATCTGCACTCTGATACTGTTATTGACTTTTTCAATGTCACATACCAAGTAAGGGGCAAAGTCTGTATTGGAACACAGATTTTTTTACTTCCAAGCCCATGAAAGACCTTCCCTCTACCCCATCCTATCTCCTATTCCTCCCCCGCCCCCTCCCACCAAACTACCCTGTGATGGTGACAAAACTTTGTTTTGCAAGCTTTTCTCACTTTCCCCCAAGGGTACTTTTCTTCCTTGAACGACTTTTTTAAAAGCCAAATAGAAAGGGACGGTGAGTCTCTAAATGTACCATCGTTGCTTTTGTTCAGTGCAATAGACTTTATATTGCTTTGTCCAGTCCCTACGAAGTGGGACATAGGAGGTTTGTTTCCAAGAAATTAGCATCGTATTTTTTTTCTCTCTCTCTCTGTCTCTCTTTTTTGCTCCCAACACAATTTTATCTTGGGGATAAACAGTGTTATTTTCATTCCCTCCACTTGAGCCCCACATCAAACGTTTTCTATTAAAATTTAAATAAGCCACTTCAGAGACAGATGAAGATGTGAGGCTGAAATGAGCTGATTCACTAGAATTTGTTCCTGAGAATATAACTTATTTTCTCTTACAGCTTATGCAACTTGGTTTCATAATAGAAGTTTTAAGTGGGCCAACGTCATGCCATTATAGTCATTTCCTTCAACTTTTCCACCCAGAATAGCCAACTGCAAAAGGGGAAATGAGGGACACAAACTCTTCCCCCACCCCATGGAGACCCAATTATTATTCTAGGAAATTGCTGGAAGCTGAAATTTTTTTGAAGATATATTGGATCTTTTTGTGTGATCGTCAATCTGTACACATAGCAACAAAATCTTTGCTGCTGGCTGATTGTCCAAATTTTTCTCTTTTTCCTTTAATTGAAGTTGGAGACAGGGCTTGCCAAGGTGGGAATGTATGTGTAGGGTGAGGTGGGAGGTACTGAGAGGAGATGGGAGTAGGACCAGAGAGCAGGGTGAATGCCGAGGGGGACAAAGGCAAGGTTGAAAATTGACTGATGGGCCCAGACCCAAAGTGCCAGAAGGAGAGGCTGGATGATCTCTAAATCAGAGGTCTAAAGTCAGGGCACAGAGCAAAGAATTCAGGACCAAGGAGGTGAGACAAGTGTAAGCAAAGTATTGGAGAGGTGAGGACTAGTGTGGGAGTCATCCTGAGTGATTCGTAGGAGAGCGTTATCCAAGCTATGTTCATTATCAATCTGTGTTCTAAGAGAGAGTGGTTCTTTTGTTGAGTAATTTGAAAATATGAAACTTGATTCCTAGGGAACCATAGTGATAGGGATAATAATAAAAATAATAATAGAAAATTTAAAAATTAGAAACATAGGTGACTGCTGACATAAGCCTTACTACCACTCACCAATACCCCATCTTTAATACTAAATGAATGAATCTTTCCTGCTGTTGAAATTAGGCATGGACACATGGCTTGTGTGGACCAATGAAATGTGAGTGGAAGTGATATGTAACTGCTAGTGTTTATCTCTAAAATTTGCTTTTCACCCTGTCTCTATGACTGGTGGCATTCCCTAAATGAAGACGACTCCCCGTACTGCAATGACTCCATGTCTAGTGTGGGAGGGACATGAAGGATGAACAAGAAGTAATTTTTTTTGCTGTTCTAAGCCACTGAGATTTTTGGGTTTGCTTGTTATAGAAGCATAACCTAGCTTATCCTGACAGATAAAAGAGCTAACATTTAATGAGCACTTACTATGTGCCAGATACCACTCACAGTGTTTACATGTGTTAGCACATTAATATATTTTTAGTGGCTCTGGTATGTCTAGAGGTAAGTAAATACAGAAGTAAAGAAACATGTATAAGCTTATCCAAGTGTATAGAACAATAGATGCCCCTCATTTCTGCTTTCCTTATTTTGGATATAGAACACCTATTGATGCCTTGCAGAACACAACCTGATAACACACAGTGGAAAACTCAGGCCTGAAATATGCTCCATTGTCCATAGCTTGAGATGGGGCATCATGGACTACAGGAAGAATAAAAGCCTTACATAGTGGGCAAATAGAGATAAAGAGTTAAAAATGTTGGCAGTTTCTCCTATCCTTTCCATGGAGGAGCCTGAGATGATTAACGGTTCTTCATTAAAGTGTGACTCTGACTCTTGGCTAACACTCAGTATCAGAGGAGCACTGGAAGAGGAGGTTGGAAGTGAAAAAATGGGAAAGACAAGGCCTGTAATTTTGTGGGTTGATCTCCCTAGAAAAACTGCCAGAGTACTAGCTTCTTTTCCTTAAACCAAAACCCCAGGAAAAGATAAAATTCCTTATCAATTGAATAGGTAGGGGAGCAACTAAGACTAAGAGCAAGAGTTAAGTAAGTATAAGCTTGGAGCGATGAGGCTCTTGGGGCTAATGCATCCATGGCCAGCATTGCTGTATTAGTCATAGTAGTATGACTGAATGGTCATGTATTGGGGAATGTATTACAAAGATGTCAGGCATGATGGCTGATTTAAGGTGTCAGCTTGTCTGGGCCATGGGGTGCACAGGTTTTGCATTACTTCTGGTTGTATCTGTGAGGGTGTTTCTGGATGACAACATCTAAATTGGTGGGCTCAGTAAAGCAGATTGCCTTCCCCAATGTAGATGGGAATCATGCAATACATTGAGGACCTGAATAGAATAAAGAGCAGATGAAGGAGGAATTTTCCCCGATTTGCTTCCTGCCTGCCTACTTGAGCTGGGATATTGGTCTTCTCCTGCCTTGTGTGGGGATTTATACCATCAACTCTTCTGGTTCTTGGAGCCTTTGGACGCAGACTAGAATTACACCACCAGACATTCTGGGTCTCCAGCTTAGAGGCAGAAGATATGGGGACCTCTGGATATAGA